ATATACCTTATAGAGTCGTTGTAAAGACTAAATGAGTGAATATATGTGAATGCCTGGCATAGCATAGTGCTTAGAATGAAGTAGATACACAAGGTGTGTTAGATTTCTCCTCTCTGCCTCTACACACATATAGACATGTGTGCATATACACAGTTACCTTTTCACTAAACCTAATTCCCCAGACTCAGGTTCCAGAAGACTAGCAGAGTTTCAGGCTTACAAACGGAAAGTGGATTAAATGCTGTGGGGCTCAGGTATGAGGAGGTCTCCAGCTCTGGGTCAGTGCACGGGGCTACCCCCATCCCAGCACCATGAATGCACAGTGCTGGATCAGGGTGGGTCACAAGGCATGCTTAGACACACATTTTCTCCTGCAGGAAATATTCTCATTAGCTATAGGGACGCTAAGATGCTTCTCAACCTGCTTAGCGAGTATCACTTTGTTCCCCCAAACATTGTAATCACCACTTTCCCATCACATGGGGTACAGCACAAAAGTTATTAAGAGCATCACTCTCTCTGTATACAGGAGACTTTACTGAAGAATCGATGCTTTGGAACTGTGGAGTTGGAGAAGACTCTTGAGAGTCCCTTGGACTGCAAGGAGATCAAACCAGTCCATCCTAAAGGAAATCAGTCCTGAATGTTCATTGGAAGGCTAATGCTGAAGCCGAAACTCCAATCCTCTAGCCACCTGATGCGAAGAACTGACTCGTTGGAAAAGACCCTGATGTTGGGAAAGATTAAGGGCAGGAGGAGAAGGGGACGACAGAGGATGAGATGGTTGGATGGCATCACCGACTCGATGGACATGAGTTTACGCAAGTTCCTGGAGTTGGTGGTGGACAGGGAAGCCTGGCGTGCTGCAGTCCGTGGGGTCGCAAAGAGTTGGACACGACTGGGTGACAACTGACTGAACAGATGAAAAGAACAATGGAATGTTAACTTCCTATCGCTAAGGAAAACCTCTTCAACCACAAAGCTATTTGGCAGCAAGTTTCCACCAACTTCTAGTGAAACAAACAAAAAAAAACAATAAAGAACTGCAGTTTTCTCTACTTTTTTATTAGCACTTTGGAATTCATAGTCACCTTTTCTGTTGCTTATTTTTATTTCCTCTCTTACCTGCAGCTAATGAGCATCACCGCTGACTAATGCCCAGCAGGGTGAGTATACTTCTTCCACAAAAATGTGTTCTTAAGTCATAAAGGCCTGCCTGTATTATAAAATTATTGCTTTATTACTACCATGCTGAGATGTTCAATGTCACATGGCGAAGGATTTTTACACATTAGTCACAAGAAATAAAAAAGTAACACCTAACTGAATGTGAGAAAGATTTTTCTTTCACTTTATAAGGGAAATATTTTTGCAACAGTGTTGACTAGATGCAACAAAATTTCTAAAGTATTACTTTTGGCTGAAAGAACATTTGACTATTAATTCTATAAAATAATCAAGGCCCTGGGACTTCACACCACCATACGGATTAATGAATATGAAGATCAGGGCTTCGTTGGTGGCTCAGTGGTAAAGAATCTACCTGCCAAGGCAGGAGACATGGGTTCAACCCCTGATTCAAGAAAATCCCACATATCTGTGGAGCAATGAAGCCCATGCATCACAACTACTGAACACACACACCCTAGAGCCCAAACTCAGCAACAAGAGAAGCCACCTCAATGAGAAGCTTGTGCAGTGAAACTAGAGTAGTCCCAGCTCGATGCAACTAGAGAAAGGCCCGTGTGGCAATGAAGACCCAGAACAGCCAAAATTAAATTAAAAAATAAAATTTTTTTTTTTAAATCATGAAGCCACAGGCAGTGTGTCTGCCAAGACCAGGCACACACATGGATCCTTTCAGACACGGCTGGGGCGTAAGGAATGACACCCTGTACCAAGAGGTAGGCTGAGCACCCTCACATCTTTTCTAATTTCACGGGCCCCTTCCATTGCACACGATCTGTTCCCCAAACACAGGGCCCCCGATGCTATCTCATTTCTAATTTCACAGGCCCCTTCCGTTGCACACGGTCTGTTCCCCAAACACAATGCCCCCGATGCTAGCTCCTGTCTCTGCACGCTTGCCTTTGCTCCATGGATATTAGTTCAATGTTCTCTGCTCCGCAAACTCTTCCCCAAACGCCTGAACTCTCTCACTCCCTGTCACACCCTGTGTGTGTCTTCTTTACAGAAGCAAGAGCTATCTGAAATCAGTCTGTTCATTTACACTCCACCTTCATTATCTGTGGGACTAATGTATCTATTTTCCCTGGTGGCTCAGCTGTAAAGAACCTGCCTGCCAATGCAGGAAACCCAGAATCTATTCCTGGGTCGGGAAGATCCCTTGGAGAAGGAAATGGCAACCCACTCCAGTAGTCTTGCCTGGAGAATCCCACAGACAGAAGAGTCTGGCAGACTACAGTCCATGGGGTCACAAAGAATCAGACACAACTTAGCAACGGAACAACAACAATGTATGTATAATTTAATGAAGCCCAAATTACCGATGGCTCCTAGGACAAATAGAGGGTCAGGTTCCTCAGAGACCTTGGTCACAGAATTTTCATCAACCAATCAATACATAACCTTGTTTTCTGTGTGTTTCTGTTTAAAAACCAATCAATACATAATCTTGCTTTATGTGTGTTTTTGTTTAAAGTCATCTTTTTAATATACTCTGTTGATTCATTAACACTGAACTCAAGGCCAACAGCACTGTGACTCACGCCTGAATGAAGCTTGTCTAACACACATGGTTTCTCCATAAGGTACATCGCAGCCTTCCAGTGCTCAGGAACGGCAGACAGCACTTCAACACTATACTCGAGGGCCATTTTCAACAATGAAAAATACAAAAATATGAAAAACTTAGCACTAAATAGACCATGGAAAGGGCACTTGCTTACAGTCTGAGCTGAAACAAGAAGCAGAGACAGGCTTGCTCCACCTAAGTTGGAAACACACATGTCAGGAGGTTCCGATTTTTCACTGCTTTGTACATGTCTGTGAAAAACCATGAAAGTGCCACAAGCATTAACCTTAGGGTCACATATAAATTTTAAGACTGTAGGAAAATTCATACAGAATCCTTGTGTAGCAATGACTATATTTGCCTCTTTTCCAGTTACCCATCCCTCCTTGAGACTGAGCTCCGTGCAAATGGGGGTTCTGCGTGGTCTTTCCTCACTGTTGCACCCCCAGAAATAGAGCAGTGTGTGTCAGATGGTTGATACCTTGGCTGACTCAGTGAGTTAGAGCTCTCTCCCTCTGCCCAGAAAAGTCTGACTCTTAACGCCCTCTCATTCCCATCCTTCAAAACACATCTCAAAAGCAGCCTCCACCTCCTACCAGGCTTAGTTATGTTTTCCTTCTAGAGTCCCTGAACATCCCAAGAGCATTTCTTATCATGTGTATCTGTTAGTCACTCAGTCATCTCTGACTCTTTATGACCCCATGGACTATATAGTCAGGCTCCTTTGTCCATGGGATTCTCCAGGCAAGAATGCTGGAGTGGGTTGTCATTTCCTTTTTCGGGAATCTTCCCAACCAGGGGATGGACTCAGGTCTCCAGCATTGCAGGCAGATTCTTAACCACTGAGCCACCAGGGATCTCTATCATAACATGCATCAAGTTCTACTTAAATTATTTGTTTTCTTATAAGTCTCCTTCACTAGGCTATGAGTCCCTTGTGGGCATGATCTGGTTCATAACTACCTTTATCTCTTGCAGGTAAGGTTGTATCTGGTTTGTACTAGGAATTTAGCAAACATTTGCTTAAAAAACAAATGTTCAAAGTTTATACATATGTTTACAAGTGTGGTATTTAAGGGATAAATATACTAAAAATTATCCTTTACAGAGAGATTCTTGCCCCTTCCTTGTTTAAAGAAAAATCTTCATGCTTCTATCATAAAATTAGGACTTCCTTAGGATCTACTATCCTGGCCACCTCATGAATTTACAGCTTTTAATGATCATCTCACCATGTATATCAAATCACCATGTTATACACCTTGGCCAGTCACTTCAGTCATATCTGACTCTTCGAAACCCTATGGACTGTAACCCACAGGCTGCTCTATCCAAGGGATTCTCCAGGCAAGAATACTGGAGTGGGTTGCCATTTCCTCCTCCAGGGATGTTATACACCTTAAACATGTGCAATTTTATTTTAAAAGGAATATAATTCTTTAAAAGTGAAATGAACAGTGTCTCCTCATACTGTGAACAGTGGTTTATCCCTGAGGAGATGTCAGCTGAGTGAAATGCAAAGACCTCTAGAAGACATCAAACCAACAATGGAAAATAGTTTAGGTGTTTTTAGACTTGTCAAACAGAGCTTTGATAACTCTGTCAAAGGATTCTGCTTTGACGTGTGTGTTTCATAAAAGTGTTGTCACATTCATAGGCTGCAATGTGAACCCAGCATTCTACCATAAGCTACTGAATTAAGTCAATGTCCCTGAATTTAATCCAGACTTCACAGCCTGACTTAAATCTCCAGGCTGGAGGAGTCATGACCTCCGGGAGCCCTGTGCAGTCCCACCTGGAAAGGCTTCTTTCCTCCTCTCCACCACTTGCCCAACTCATCATTAAAGCCCTATCCATTCTTCCCAGCCCTTCCAGGTCCACCTGCTCCCAAGATCCAGCCCCTGACAGTTTCATCCCACTCTTATCTCACCCTCCTTTCTCACCACTTAGTAACTATTCCAAACCCTTGCTTCTTATCTCATTAACTAATGCTCCATGAGTATCCTTATATATTTTATCTGCTTTATTAGATAGGCAAGAACTATCTAGAACCATTGCCTCCCAGCAGCACTCAAGGAAGAGCCCAGAAGTCAGTAAGTATTCATTAAACACAGGTGTGAATATGAAGCTACCTGATAACAGAGTATAATCCTTATCACATGATAACAAAAGTAATGAGATCCCATATTTATAATATCATTCAACCCCATAGTACCAACTGTACCTGAAGGCACAGACAACTTACCATTATTTTCAGCATAAATCCTTATGACAGGCATTAACTCGAAGAGCACTTTGGGCTTGGACTCGATAAGTTTCATGTTCCTCCTGTCCCAGCCAGCACCTTCAAGATACAAGCCGTAGACATAGACACCCTCTGTGGGAGGGGCAGAAATGTCATCCTTCATCCACTTGGTGACTTCATTGCAAAGCACCATATTGTCCAGAGCCCAGCCTTTGTTGGCTCGAGTTATTTCCTACTCAGGGCAAGAGCAAAAGAAAAGGATGACATCAGCAACTAAAGGGTTGTCTTAATAGAAAGAGCATAATTGTGATAACAATGTAGCCCCAGATTCAAAAAAGGTAGGATAGTATTTGAAGGGTTTTAAAAGATCCTCTCATAAGCAATACCCGTGCCCTAATTTAACCATACTTGTACTTCAGTGTCAAATAATTTGATGCTTTCTAATTGTGGTTGTGGAGAAAACTCCTTGGACTGCAAGGAGATCAAGCGAATCAACCCTAAAGGAAATCAGCCCTAGCTATTCATTGGAAGGACTGATCATAAGCTGAAGCTCCAATACTTTGGCCCCCTGATGTGAAGAGCTGACTCATTGGAAAAGACCCTGATGCTAGGAAAGATTGAGGGCAAACGAAGAAGGGGACAACAGAGGATGAGATGGTTGGATGGCATTACCGACTCAATGGACATGAGTTTGCGCAAACTCCAGGAGATAGTGAAGGAAAGTAAAGCCTGGCGTGATTCAGTCCATGGCTTTGCAAAATATCGGAGATGACTTCATGACTAGATAACAATTTTAGAAGAAATATAAAATCAAATCAAATATAAAAATAAGTATTTTTAAATCTAAGCTAGCAGCCTGAGAACAAGTTGCTGAATTTATGTTCAGGACAAAGTTAACTGCTGGTGCCCAAACCAGACAATCATTCTGCCTTATTATAAACTACATATTTAAAACTATAATGAAAGAAGAAAGCCCTCCAGAGGAAAATTGTAATAACACAACAGGTAAAAATCAGTGCTATCACCTGTCGCATTGCAGTTAAAAATCCTTGAGGGTTAAAAAAGCCCGTCATCCAGAAGCAGTGGGGTCGGTCATTGAAAACCCAAGAGGTAAACTGGCAGTTTCTTTCAATAAGTTCAGTAAACCAGAAACCCAAGGTACTTGAAACCCAAGATGCCTGAAAGGCAAACATGAAAACATGAATTTAATACAGGTTTAATTCTACTGTGTAACTGACTATATTCACAGAAAAAAACAATGATGAAATATCAATTTCACTCTTAGAATTTAGAAGTCCCTAAGGCATAAATTTCTGCAGGGTTCTGACCTTTAAGATGTCAAATTATTCCTTTTTAATAATATGAAGTATGTTAGAATCAACTAATCATCATGTGAATTCCAGATTAATCCTGCTTGGCATGCTGTTCAAGACATCTGCTGTCAATAAAGTCTCCTTCCACATACGAATATAGTTAAGATCAATTCTGCCACAAAGCAATTAAAACAATTAATTGAATTAAATTTAACGGGCTCCAACTATTTTTCCTTAGGCTATATTTTCAATAGATACATTATAAAACAGCATTTCTATTTATGTAAATGTGCTTATGGCCTTAACAGCACTTTCTATTCTATGAATGACAAATGTAGAAGACTTTCTCCACTTATTTTTTTATGGGGCAAACAACATTTATTTTCTGAAGTTCCTATCTCTTAGAAGGCATTTTTATATTCTCCGATGAAGGGAATAAAAATGGAAACACAGTTCTCCTTACCACCAACAAATTAATTGCATTCATTGCCTGTAACGTTCTGCCTGAATTCACATGTGGAACTCATGTTATTATAACAGGCATGGAAATGTCATCAACATTATCAGCAGTCACACTAGAAGGTATCTCCAAATCATATTTTATAACATTTCACTGTAACTGCACTATTTTATGTGTGAATAAATGTACTGATCAACCTGAATAGATAAACCACTTGAATTTCAAATAGCTTGAGAATTGATATGCCTATTTTACAAGAGACACTGAGATTCCCAAAGACTGTTAATAAGTTGAGTAGAAAAAAGTCCTATATAGAAGGATTTTAAGTTCCAGGAAGTGGGACTTCCCTGGAAGTCCAGTGGTTAATCCCTAGTTGAGGAACTAATATCCCACATCCTGTGTGGCACAGCCAAAAATTTTTTTAAAAGAGATTCTTAGAGACCCTTGGACAGCAAGGAGATCAAACCCATCAATCCTAAAGGAAATCAACCCTGAATATTCATTGGAAGGACTGATGCTGAAGCCGAAGCTCCAATACTTTAGCCACCTGATGTGAAGAGGAGACTCATTGGAAAAGACCCTGATGCTGGGAAAGACTGAGGGCAGGAGGAGACAGGGATGACAGAGAACGAGATAGTTGGATGGAATCACCAACTCAACGGACATGAGTGTGGGCACACTCCAGGAGACGGTGAAGGACAGGGAAGCTTGGCATGCTGCAGTCCATGGGGTCTCTAAGAGTTAGATCCGACTTAGCGACTAAACAGCAATGTTTAAAACGAGGTAATTCATTCTATATCTTTATAGGTGTGTTAACTGAAAGATATGTGTTTATACAACATTTGATCTGAAGGCACAGGGACCCATTAACTAGGGGGTGTCTTCTGGCGAGGATCCCTGTCCCAGAACTGCAGGTGCTGACCAAGCTGGGTCAGCTGGTCTAGCGGGGAATGAGCCCACAATGGTCAGGGACCAGGTAGGTCACTAGCAAGAGGAGAGTCAGTGCATACAGAAAACTCTCTGGCCTCGGCAATGAATTTTTTGCAGGGGAGGAGAGAAAGGGACCTGGTCAAAGCTGATTCTGAGTTTCTAAGCTGTGTGTCTAGAGGGATGGATGGGATGGTGGTTAATCAAATAAGATGAGAAGATAGTAGACGAGCACTCCCCAGTTACCATATGCTGCTTTCTGTCCCACTGCCTTGGAATCTGCCAAAGCCCTGGGTAAGGATCAGAGGCTCAGCACTAAAGGAGCCTCTCCTGAGAGATTATCAGTTCTAACTCCACCCTGTCCCACCATCTCATTTACCCGACTGACCTCCAAAAGTTCCAGTCACCCAGGGACCCAATCTCCTCTCTGTAAGTTGCCCACCCTGGATAACCCCCACCCTCCTGTCTCCCGAGTCCTCCCACCACACGCTCAGCACCCTCGGTGCCACGATCAGCCAACTCCTCTACAAGGACACTCAGGTTCTCGTTTTACTTCTCCCAGTAGAAAAACACCTCTTCAAACCACATCTATTTATCATACTATTATATACAGAATGGGTAAACAACAGGGTCCTACTGTATAGCACACGGAACTACATTCAACATCCTGTGGCAAACCATAATGGAAAAGAAATTTTTTAAAAACCCACATCTTGCTGTATATATACACACATATATATAATATTCCATACACAATGGAATATTACTCAGCCTGGATGGGAGGGGGCTTGGGGGAGAATGGATACATGTATTTGCAATCCTGAGTCCCTTTGCTGGTCACCTGAAACTACCACAACACTGTTAACTGGCTATTCTCCAATACAAAATTAAAAGCTTCAAAAATGATAATAAAGTAAGAAGAATGCAATAATGCCATGTGCAGCAACACAGATGGACCTAGAGATTATCACACTAAATGAAGTAAGTCAGAAAGAGAAAAACAGACTCACAGACATAGAGAAAAGAAATGTGATTACCAAGGAAGGAGGTGGGGGAGGGAAGGATGGGGAGTTTGAGATTAGCAGATGCAAACTATTATATGTAAAGTGGATAAACAACAAGGTGCAACTGTACAGCACAGGGAATTAGATTCAACATCCTGTGATAAGCCACAATGGGAAAAATACAAAACAGAATATACATATATAACTGAGTCACCTTGCTATACAGCAGAAATTAACACAGTGTTGTATTAAATCAACTATATTTACACAAAAATTTTATAAAAAGCCCATCTCTCATTTAGCACAATTAATAATATGCAATCAGTAAGAATACTGTTAAATTATTATCTTGTTACCTTGAGAGATATATACCCACATATTTACAGAAAAAGCAAGGAAGAAGATTTCTCCTTGGAGTGACTTTTGACATATGTGTGTGTGTCTAGGAACATCCCCTTCTATAAAACTAACATCACAAGCTTTGAAGTCCATGAGTTTGGGTTTAAATTCTGATTCTTGGATTTCTAAGATGTGTGATCTGGGAAAACATTTAATCTCCCCTAACCTAAGATCCTCATCTGTAAAATATGGGTAATAAATTGTAAGATTTACACGAAACAGTGCATACAAATTGCCTGGCAGAGAACCTGAGATGTGGGAGATGTTAAATCATTTTCCCTACCTACAATGTAAAAATACAGGGCTCTAAAAGGATTAGTCCCTAAGCAAAAGAACACTCTTAAGCACATTATCCGTACATGCTTTCACTTGCCAATTACAATTATTCACAACAATAAAGTGATTAGGCAGGATAAGAGCTGACTTAAACATACTTTCTTCCAACGAGCAGGAATCCTGGCATCAAACATGCAGTTCAGAGCATCTCGTAGATTTTCGCTCATGATGATGGTGCCATCGATGGCAAGTTTCAGCTCGGTCAGGGTGCTTCGGACCAGGGTGAGTACCCTCTGCATCCTGTCTATCTCCTGTCTGAGGAAAATGTTCATTGGTTGGAACGGCCCCATCTTCTGCAGCCTCTCCTTCACCTGCCATGGAGACATTAGCACATGAAAAATTATTTGACAGCTACTAATAGTTCTATATGGGGGCTTCCCTGGTGGCTCAGATGGTAAGGCATCTGCCTGCAATGCAGGAGACCCAGGTTTGATCCCTGGATCAGGAAGATCCCCTGGAGAAGGAAATGGCAAGCCACTCCAGTACTGTTGCCTGGAGAATTCCATGGATGGAGGAGCCTAGTGGCTCAGATGGTAAAGAACCTGCCTGTAATGTAGGAGACTTGGGTTGGGAAGATCTCCTGGAGAAGGAAATGGTTACCTACTCCAGAATTCTTGCCTGGAGAATTCCTTAGATAGAGAAGCCTGGTGTCCAAAGGAGCCCAGGACCCATACAATCCATGGGCTTGCAGAGTCGAACACTATTGAGCAACTAACACTTTTACTTTTCACTTTCCCTGGTGGCTCAGTGGTAAAGAATTCACCGCCAAACAAGAGATGCAGGTTTGATCCCTGGGTCAAGAAGATCCCCTGGAGAGGGAAATGGCAACTCTCTCCGGTATTCTTGCCTGGAGAATTACATGGACCAAGGAGCCTGACGGGCTACAGTCCATGGGCTCACAAAGACTTAGACAGGACTGAGCATACACACAATGTTATATTATATACATGGTACTCTAGGGCTTCTGAAAGGGCCCTAAATTTTACAATTCCATAAACAGTAAGCTTGTTTTTAACTGTCAGGAAACAGAGAAGAAATAAAAGAAATATCTGTTAGAGGACAAGCTGATTTTTCATCCCAGGTGAGAGAAGACAGGCAGCCATTAATTCACAGAAGAATATAAAATCCACGTCCACATCCAAACAACAACAACTGCAATTATTGGGAAACATTCACTCACTGCCAATCTAAGACTTGATTATACACACATGGACACACACAAGCAGATGTGTATGTTTATGCAACAATTCTGAAAGTGAGAGTGAAAGTGAAGTCGCTCAGTCGTGTCCAACTCTTTGCAACCCCGTGGACCCAGCAGGCTCCTCCACCCATGGGATTCTCCAGGCAATAATACTGGAGTGGGTTGCCATTTCCTTCTCCAGGGGATCTTCCCAACCCAGGGATCGAACCCAGGTCTCCCACATTGCAGGCAGACACTTTAACCTCTGAGCCACCAGAGAAGCCCAACAATTCTGAAGGCTGTCTCAAAAAACTAGATTTCTGTTTTTAAAGCTTTTTATTTTTTCCATCAAAGCATCTGTCCATCCACTCACCCATTCATTTCTGTCTTGCAAGTATTTATTCAGAGTCTTTTGTGGATCAGATATCATGCCAGTCTGAATTGTTCTATCTTAAGCAAATTCAGCAAAACGAAGATGACTCTTCTAAACTCCATACATACCACCACGTTTATTTATGAAAGGAAATGGCACCCCACTCCAGTATTCTTGCCTGGAGAATCCCGTGGACAGAGAAGCCTGGCGGGCTACAGTCCATGGGGTCGAAAAGAGTCGGACACGACTGTGTGACTACCACTTCACTTAATATATTTTAGGCACTTTCGTTGCTTTATAAATATTTCAGCCACTGCTAGACATGAATGACTGCTTTCCTGATACTATAATGAAAGGCGCTTATGAAAGCTGGTAACAGTATTGATTTTCTCCAAGCAAGTGATCAGAGTTTCTTCCACAGGAAATGATTCCCTTGGTGAGAGTTCTTTGAGTTCAGTCTACGGTGAAAAATTAGCAGCCGAAATGGCCTGCTTCATGGAAAACAATAGGGTGCTAAAGAAACAAAATGCAGAATTCCTTCTGAAAACCAAGTGGAAAGGGCAATATATAAAGAAACTTGGTGGTCCTATGACAGAAATGTCATTAAGGTTAGTCCAAGTAATCTCTTAAGACTACAAGGAAAGTAAGCCACTTACTTTTGCTTTTAGCAAAGATTTAAACATGTTATCACGGTAAAGCTTTTCACAATACACGCTAAAATGTCAAAAAAATTAACATAATTGTCAGTTTTGCTTAGAAGTTACTTGATATTAAAAGGACAAATTGGGGGGACTTCCCTGGTGGTCCAGTGGCTAAGACTCCACCCTTCCAATGCAGGGGGCCCAAGTCAGGGAACTAACTGTCACATCTTGCATGCCACAACTAAGACCCAGCACAATCAAATAAAATACATTAATTTTTAAAAAAAGAGAAATCAATTTCCAAACCCCATGTGACAAAGAAGCTGCAGACTTAGTGATATAACTATAGACTCCCTGAAATTAAGAAGGCCTGAATTATTTTTGTAAAATAATTGATGCTTTACTCTAAGAATACATTATTTTCCTTTGAACCAATGACATTATGAAGTGCCTCCAGGAGACATTATAGAAAAGCAATTCTAACCCATCGATACACACTTACAATTTAACTATGAAGATTAACTCTCTCATCAGACTTAATATTTATATTTTGAAATGATTACATCAATAGGTTCAAATACTTCTTTTACTGCTTCTTCAAGAAGCGAAGCCTTTAAATAATTTCTTTAATTTCAGAAAAGTTACTTTTGCCCTCCTCCCTTCTTCCTGAGACTTCCCAGGTGGCACAGTGGTAAAGAATCCACCTGCCAAAGCAGGAGATGCAAAGATGTGGGCTCCGTCCCTGGGTTGGGAAGATGCCCTGGAGAAGGAAATAGCAGCCAACTCCAGTATTCTTTCCTGGAGAACTCCTATGGACAGAGGAGCCTGGTGGGCTACGGTCCCTGGGGTAGCAGAGTCAGACACAACCGAGTGACTGAGCACAACACTGCTTCCTCACCGCCCCCGCACCCAACCACCCTCCACATCCACAGCTGTTTGCCAGGATGCCATCAACTCACTTCAAAAGGACCATAGTCCGGGGGCAGCTTCTCCAGCATGTCATCAGCCAGCCGGGCCACCACAGCCTCCCGGGTCTCATCCCCTCCGCCAGAGCTGTCCTTGGGCTGGATGCCCAGGATGGTGTCCAGCACGTCCTTGGCCAGCTTGCTCTGGTAGGTGATGTCGGCGTTGGGGTGCAGCCCGAACACCTCGGGACTGTCGTAGGTGGGCAAGCTCTGAACAATAAATAGCCACAGTGAGCTCAGACTGCTGACACAAGCCCCAGTTAAATCACACATCTTAGCAAACAAACATGATTTTATTAGGATAAGCATTTACATGATATGTCTTATTTGCGGCAGGCTACGACTGAGCGACTGAACTGAATTGAACTGAACAATCTCAATAATTTCTCTAGGAAAGAATCAAAAGTGGGACTCCCCTGGTAGTCCAGTAGTTAAGAATCTGCCTTCCAATGCAGGGGATGCGGGCTCAATCCCTGGTCAGAGAACTGAGATCCCACACACTTCGGGGCAACTAAGCCCATGAGCCACAACTACTAAGACTGTGTGCCACAACTACCGAGAGCAAACACTGCAACGGAAGACTCTGAACGCGGCAACAAAGATCTTGTGTGCCAAAACTAAGACCCAGTAGGGCTGAGAAAATAAATGAATATTTTTTTTAATAGAATCAAAAGTCGTCCTGAAAAGAAAATTAACATAAGCCCGTGGTTCTTTAATGTCTGCACTTTAAGCAAATTGATTCAGAGACACTATCTTATTTTATAATATATTTTTATAATATATTTTATATTATATATATAAAATTATAAAATAGAAAGGGAACTATGGAATGGTATTTTGCTTCTCAATGGTCCCATCTAATTCAAACCAGTTGTTTAAATAAATGGTGTATAACTAATCGTTACTAAAAATAACAGTTTTAGCAATTATAGCCCAATAAAACCAGAGGTGGGGAATGTACTCCCTCCAAGGAGGAGAGAGACTAGGGAAAGTGAGAAATATTAAAAGAGCAACAAAGTTAGAAAAACATAGAGCAAGAGACATTAAGATGTAGAAAAGTGAAAGCCTCTCAGTCATGTCCGACTATACAGTCCATGGAATTCTCCAGGCCAAAATACTGCAGCGGGTGGCCATTCCTTCTCCAGGGGATCTTTCCAACCCAAGGATCGAACCCAGGTCTACCCCCAGTGCAGGCGGATTCTTTACCAGCTGAGCCACCCAGGAAGCCTAAGAATACTGGAGTGGGTGGCCTATCTTCTCCAGGAGATCTTCCCGACCCAGGAATCTAACCAGGGTCTCCTGCATTGCAGGCAGATCCTATGCCAGCTGAGCTATCCGGGAAGCCTTAAGAAGCAGAACAGCAGAACTAGCAGATAAATACTACCCCAGCTACTTGAACAAAAGAAAATTTACCTATAATTTGACATATACTTCTATGTGAGAACTGCATACTTAACTTTATTCATGGTTTCCCTCCCTTCTAGTCTATTATTTTATTCCTTTTTGCTTAATGCCTTCTTATGAGCTAACTCAAATTCCTATAAAATGAGACGTGTATAAATAAATATATGTGCAGGCATACCTAAATTTACACCTTCGTATGCACTTCTCCTCTTCACTGAAAGTGATTTAAAGGCACATATAATACAGTTAAGACAAATATATTTGTAGATTTGAATTAATAAAAGTGTACGGCTGATGATATATGGTAAACTCATTACACACATATATCACAGAACCTCTAAATATACTGATAAATTTAGCTCTTTGGGGCTGTTTTGCTTTAGTTGGTTCACCCTGAGATAAATCTTAGAGGCAAAAGAGATCGCTAAATAATGATCTAATGAATTCCAGGTACAGAGACAGAAAATGTAGTTACTTGAAAGCACAAATCAAGTTTTCCCCCAGATTTCCTGTCAAAATCTTATTCCTTCTCAGAGCCAGACTTTAAAGTTGGAAGTGATTCCCCCCCCCCCCCCAGGGATATTTGGCAGTCTGGAGACATTTAAGGTTGTTATAATGGGGTAGGAAGTGAAACTGACATCTAGTGGGTAGAGGACAAGGGTGATGTCAACATTCTACACAGGACTGTCCCCCACCCCTACAAAAATGTATTCAGCTCCAAATGTAAATGGTGCCAAAGCTGAGAAACTCAGTCTTAGAGGAACCTCTTATACAGAGTGTGTTTCTGAGAATACTCATATGCTGTCCATCAAGTCAGGATTAAGAAACAGATGTCATGGAATAAGGTAAATGCTTTGAAACACAAAACAAAATTGAGTATAGGGCACTGAGTATTATGCCCTACACAAAAGGGCATTGGTGTAGGTTCCCTGGATCTAAATCTCCCCAATCTATCATCTCTCCAAAGAAAATTCCTCACTGGGGCATTAAAAGAGAAGGAAAGTGGGACTTCCCTAGAGGTCCAGTGGTTAAGGCTCCGAGATTCCACTGCAGGGGGGCATGAATTCTTCTTGTCCCTGGTCAGGGAACTGAGTTCATGTTGACAAAAAGAGAGAGAGAAAAAAGGGAAGGAGAGAACCAACACAAAACATACACTCAGAACAAATATAAACAGTTTAGTCATTAGATGAATATAAACATATGAAGACAACATCTCTGGTGCTCAGAACCTTCCACGTTCAGTATGTATCGCCATTAAAATTTCTTTTCAAAGAAGTATGAAGTATAAATAAATAACAGTAAAAAAGTCACCTGGCTACAGATATTTGCTCTATGCATAAAATTCTGAAGATGACCAACCTGGATATACTGAAGATAGTTATCCACTGTGTTGCATTTTGGAATATTGTAGCCTTGGTAGAAGCTGAAATCTGGTCCAAACATATTTTCACTGAACCAAACCTTAGCAAGCGTGTTCAACAGTCTCTTGTCATAGTCATCAGTGACTCTGCCTCCATACTGAATCTCTCCTATCATGTAGCGGACAGTGGTCCAAGAGACACCCTGGGAAAAGTTACAGAAGGAAGGTGCAGAACTGATTACTGTCTCACCCCCATTTTCCCTGCCAAGTAACACCCATGCATGCATCGTCATCACTGTCATCCATGTCATCTGCTCATGCACTCATTCATTCACTCCTCAGTAACTAAAAAGTGCAGAAAGAAAATTAAATAGACAAACATGAGGGGAACTCAAAGCTCCTGTTCATGATTTGAAACAGAGTCTCCTGCATTCATGTACTTCTTGACTTTGATTTCGATAGGAAAAAAATGCTTATTTTTTTAGAATATTGAGGCTGTTCCTTAAATAGCACACATTCAAGAGTATGTGGATAAAGAAGTGGTATGTGTGTACAATGGAATATTACTCAGCCACTAAAAGGAACAAAATAGGGTCACCTGTAGAGATGTAAGCAGATCTAGAGTCTGTCATACAGAGTGAGGTAAGTCAGAAAAACAGATATCATATGTTAACACATATATGTGGCCTCTAGAAAAATGGTACAGATGAACCTATTTCCAAGGCAGGAATAGGTACGCAGACATAAAGAATGGGCATGCGGACATAGTGGGGGAGTGGAAGGGTGGGAAAATTGGGAAATTGGGATTGACGTATGTCCACTGTGTGTTAGTCACTCAGTCATGTCCAACTCTATGCTACCCCACAGACTGTAGCCCACCAGGCTTCTCTGTCCATGGGGATTCTCCAGGCAAGAGTACTGGAGTGGATTGCCATGCCCTCCTCCAGGGGATCTTCCCGACCCAGGGATTGAACCCAGATCTCCTGCATTGCAGGCAGACTCTTTATCATCTGAGCCACAAAGGAAGCCTCATACACACACTGCCACATATAAAATAGACAGCGAGTGGGAAGCTGGTGTATCGCACAAGGTGCTCAGCGCGGGGCTCTGTGATGACCTAGAGGGGTCGGATGGGGGTGGTGTGGGGGAAAGGTATAAGAGAGAGGGGATATATTTATGCACATGGCTGATTCACTCCACTGGACAGCAGAAACTAACACAACATTTTAAACCAATTATATTTCAATTTTTAAAAAGTCATCTAGACTCTAAATTTTAGGGGGTTTAGGATTTTAAAAAACAAGCTTCTTCATCCATTGCTCCCTCCCTTCAATAGATCCTGTTAGGTTGTCTTACTTGTAATGTCAACTTGCCTTGGAGAAATAAAAAGATAATTAAAATGTGTTCATTTTTTCCCTGAAATTAAGAGGTTAGTGTGACCCAAGTTGCTACGGCTTAAAGAGGATGACTTTGCCAGCACAGAAAACCACCGCTGTTACAGGATTTCGCCCAAGGCTGGTGGGGGCGGCGGCAGGGGGTCCTGTTAGCTCAAGGATTCAAGCCCCAAATCACCCAAGGCAGAAAGCAGTGTGCACAAAGTACCTTTTTGAGATCCATGTCATCTAGGTGGTTCTGGACGAACTGCACTGTGGCATTAAAATCGGCTTGGTTAAATTCATAGGGGATGTTCCAGCCCAGGGGCCCGAACTTGCGCCTCTCCTGGACCGTGGAGTGCAGGAAAGCCACAGCATACAGCATGGGCTTCCACTGGGCCACGGCACTCACATCCAGCAGGTCCTGGCTCACCCCTGTTGAGGTCAGTGGGGAAAAACTGTCTCATCTCTCAAACATCTTTATTTTCTACCACTTTTAGAAGTTATTAATCATTGCTGTAAATTCCTGATATTAAAATTCACTTATCTTGAATCATCTTTATCATAGTCATGTGGCAGTTGTAATTTAACTTTTGGGTACCCAGAGGACATTTCTCTGAAAAATATATGCAGAGATTTGAGGGGAGTAGGGTCTCACTCACACGGATAAAGTTCTTACCAATATAACAAGAAAAAAGTGGGGATAAAAATGGTGGCAAAATAAAATACTGCTACTATTACTACAATGACTATTAATAATAGACATTATTATTATTCTTATTATTATTATTATTATTACTACTATGAAGGGCATGTATACAAGTTGCAAATACTTCTATATACTCTATTAACAATTTAATATTAATTAGAATACTGTATACAGTAGTCCATTGCTATTCAGTAGCACAAACCATTAGATATAAAATAAGCAAGAAGGATATATTGTATAATATGGGAATACAGCCAGTATTTTATAATAACTATAAATAGAACATAACCTTTAGAAATTATGAATCACTATATTGTACAGCTGTAACTTACATTGTACAGAAACTATACTTCAATTAAAAGGAATAATAAAAAATAATAAAATTTAAAAGAAGCCCTTTGAAACCTGAGTATATTCTCCAAATTGTAATTATGATTATTATACATATATATATTCATCACATATACAATTATAAATGTTTTCATTTGCAAACTGTTTTTACAGACATCATCATTACACATCTACTCTATGAGCAAAAATGTGAGCCTTGTTAACAACTCCAAAAAAAATATTTGTAGATTTTTCAAATTTATATGTAATAACTAAGTTGATGATTTTTATTAAATACACTATTATAATTTAAATTTATCATTTTATTATCTTCATTTTAGATATGAGAAAACTGAAACACAGGTTGTTTGAGTGATGAGCACCCATGAGAATAAAGGCATTTGTTCAGGAAGGACCAGAAGCAGGATTTTCAACTCCAAGCTCACGCTTTTTCTGTGACCATGAGCCTCAGACAGGAAGGTATGACACAGAGGGGGCGAATCTATTGGGAATAATCTTGGCTCCAGTTGGGGCAGGAGGGGCGTTTGGGTCTGATTCGGCTGCTGTGGTCAGATTTCCAACTTCGCTCACATCCCAACATCCTCACACATGAGATAAAGGCAGAGGCCATAATTTTAATTCAGCTTCTTGTCTTGGAAGAGGCTACTGCCCTACTTTAGGTATGGAGCATGAAGACCATAAACAGCAACATTATCCAGTTTAGATGTAACATAAAAGGGCAGCTGTCTAGCAGAGAAGGTTGTGGTTGTTTAGTTGCTAAGTTGTGTCCGACTCTTTGCAACCCCATGGACTGGAGCCCACCATACTCCTCTGTTAATGGGATTTCCCAGGCAAGAATACTGGAGTGGGTTGCCTTTTCTTCCTCCCGGGTATTTTTCCAACCCAGGCATCAAGCCCGTGTCTCCTGTATTGGCAGGAGGATTCTTTATCACTGAATCAAGTGGGAAACTAAATAGTGTAGGCCAAAGGAGAGTGATACTGGGGAAACAGGAAAAACATAAGGTGGAATCCAAAGATTTGAGACCCTAACATGGCCAAGGATACTTCACGTGCAGCAGGACAGAGGTGGCTATGCCCTCACCATCATGTTAAATCATAGCACCACTTGTTATAACTAAACTTATCTAATTCCTTTTCCATAATGTCTTTAAAGAAAACAATGTAAGTATAAGAACTTCCATAAACTTGGAAGGATTCCTCGACTCACCACCATATGTTCTTTTCAGTCCTGCCCGGAGGCCCTGGGGGGGCTCATTGGCAAATTTGATGGACATCTGAAGGAGGGTGATGGGAAACTGCTTGTGAACCTCGGTTGTCATCCACAGGCGGAAAGAGTCATGTACAAACTCAGTTTCTATAATTATATCCATTAGCTCATCCATGAAATCCAATCCCAGATGGCAGTTCTGCAGAAGAGCCCATCCTCCCTAAGTCAGCAACAGGAAATGGAAATTAGTCCATTTTCTGTTTCATCCAGAGATCCAAATTAGTACCTTCTTCAGAAATTAAGTAATTAAAACTTAACAGGAAAACACAGTAACCCCTATAAATTAATCTAGATCAAGTCTAAGAATAGGATCAGATTTAACTGAGATAAGTTACATTTTTTCTTGTCCCACAAGTGTGTCTGATGGGATGCCATTAGCTAGCAATGGACTCCAACTCCATGGCTGGAGTCATGAAAATCACCAAAGTGAAGCACAAAAAGAGAGTTCCCAGAATACTGGCAACAGGGTTTACATCCTGTAGAATGTGTGAGCACCTTCTCTGGGGAATCAGACTATTCTAATAAGAGTCTTAGACGATAATAAGTCATATCTCTGATGCACATTATTCAATGTGCATAAGAAGATTCTTTGTACAAGGCAACACAGGCAAAAATTTAGGTCATGCAATAATTTGTCATTTTAGTTGCTAAGGTACATCTGACTCTTTTGCGACCCTATGAACTATAGCCCGCCAGGCTCCTCTGTCCATGGGATTCTCCAGGCAAGAATACTGGAGTGGGTTGCCTTTACCTTCTCCAGGAGATCTTCCAAACCCAGAGACCAAATGCAGGTCTCCTGCATTGCAAGGCGGATTCTTTACCACTGAGCCACCAGAGACGCACCAGTAATAATTATTTCAATATATAATCCATAGAATAATTTTTCTAAAATCATCTACAATACCCAGATCATAATCATGATTTATTTTCTTGACTGTACTTTTGGATCATTTGGATTTGATTGGTGTAACCTGAGATATTATTCTTTGCAAAAGATAAATAAGTACTAGATCTAAAATCTTAATCAAGTTACATGTAAAACTGATCCTTTTGGAATGTCACATATCCCCTTAAATTTTCTTCAGAAGTATATAATGAATAAATAACTATGGTGGCTCAGAGGTAAAGCCTCTACCTGCAATGCAGGAGACCTGGGTTTGATCCCTGGGTCAGGCAGATCACCTGGAGAAGGAAATGGCAACCCACTCCAGTACTCTTGCCTGGAAAATTCTGTGGGCTCAGTCCATGGGGTCACAAAGAGTAGGACACGATTGAGCAACTTCACTTCACTAATTTTGTCCTATGAAAATTTAATTGATACTGTTCACAATTCAAAAAAAGGAGATTTAAATGTGAAACATAATAACAAAAAGGCTTCAGATGCTCTTTCATTCAGAATACAAGTGACTCCTGATCTAAGTTTCTTAGGTGAGAATTTTGATGATTCAACCTCATCCATGGAAAAGGAATCCCTTAGCCAAGTTTGCTTCTTTGGCCTCACTGCTTTCTGTATTAATATTCTGTGTTCTTCTTACTGAGCAGATCTTCCATTTTACTATTCTGGAATAGTTGGTTCATTCTGGCATAAAACACTACTCTCTCTGACAAGTTTTAAACATGCTCATAATAGTAAAAATCTTTTCCATTTGACTAGAAATTAAACTACTAAACAGAAAACACAGATAAATTGAAGGCTAAAAATATTCCATTTAAATTCTAATTTAGCTTCCTGAAACTATAATTATTTAAGTTAAATCATTATTTATTTTAAATTCATGTTAAATAAGTGTCCTGTGAATGTTAGTGTCTTTGTTTTCTAAGTGCGGTACTAGCAGAGGGAAGAAGGCAAGGTTGGGGGTCGGGGAGGCCAAGAAGAAGGAGAGTCCAGGACTAGACCTGGGATTCTGAATCATGGATTATTTTTCATCTCAAGAAAATCCGAGATACCAAGGGAACATTTCATGCAAAGATGGGCTCAATAAAGGACAGAAATTATATGGAAATAACAGAAACAGAAGATATAAGAAGAGGTGGCAAGAATACACAGAAGAACTATACAAAAGAGATCTTCATGACCCAGATAATCACGATGGTGTGATTACTCACCTAGAGCCAGACATACTGGAATGCAAAGTCAAGTGGGCCTTAGGAAGCACCACTACGAACAAAGCTAGTGGAGGTGATGGAATTCCAGTTGAGCTATTTCAAATCCTAAAAGATGATGCTGTGAAAGTGCTGCACTNCCCAATCCCTCCCAGCATCACACTATTATAAAACTGGATCCATCTGGACACCTAATATTAGACCAGAGTAAACACACAAGTGTTTTGGAGTTTGAGTTCCAGAGATGAAATAGGACTTTCTGCATTCAGGTAACTTTAAGTTCCTCAGAGTGCCTCAGCTCTGAACTTGTCCCATTAGCAGGTCATTACGTGGCTTCCAGCTACAATGGCCCCAGACCAGTCCTGAGCATGGCCTACGCTGGATGCTCTTGAATTTTCAAGCTGCCAAGGGCTCTAGGAGCCCACCTGGAAGGCGACAGGCCAGGTTTCCGGAAAACCTCTGGTACTACCACACAGTATTGGCAGATTCCTGGCCTCTGGAATCTGGGCCAGGCCTAGGGGACTCCAGGGCACAAAATATGCATTCTGGATTGTCTTGTGGATTCTAGAGGGCTGTGGATTCCCCAAGCAGATCTACAGGGGCTGGAACTTGAGGCACAGAGAGGGAGCTGTGAACCCCAAAGAAGGTTCGGGACCTGGAGCAGGGTTTAGCACTATGCAAACAGGTCCGGAAATAAGATGCTCTCACTGGGCAAGCTTCCCAGAAGTCAAGGCTCAGCAGAAAACATTTTACATTGTATTCATTTTTTCATGAAAATTTTCTAACAGGTATCATGCTTTTACCTGTTTAGCAAACAGAACACAACACATAAATTTCAGTGCTTTAGGATTTCTAAGTTCTTTCCTGCATTGTTATCCTATAAGCTGTAATGTCAACAACAGAATACAAAAGTAGACATCAGGTCTCACGTTCGCCATGGTCTGCTGCAGGAGCTTGCGAGCATGGATCTCCTGGCCCTGTCCCATGGACACGTAGCGGGTTTCTATTTTTAATCTCTTCCCCAAGGCGATGATGGAGTCTGTGGGGTCTGAGCCCATAGACAGGAGACAGATGAGCGGTGTCCGAGGATCAGATTCCTCCCACGTCCTCTCCAAGTCCAGGATAATTCCCTCTGCATACTTTTCTCCCATGGAGTCCATGATGTACTTACGGGCCTGCCAAAAAGAGTACATGGGTCAACAAAACTAGCTCCAACCCCTAAAATTCATAATTCAGTGTGGTTCCCAAAATTCATTTTCGCAGATCATCTCAATGATGTTCACAGTAACCCCGCCAGGAAAATAGGGCAGAGGGTTGTTGTTGTTTTTTTTTTTTTTCTTGTGGGTTAATCTCTTTATTCCCTTGCTTGCTTATTTGTTTGAATCCTCACTCTATCTGCCTTCAATGTGGGAGACCCAGGTTCGATCCCTGGGTCAGGAAGATACCCTGGAGAAGGGCATGGCACCCCACTCTAGAATTCTTGCCTGGAGAAGCCCATGGACAGAGGATCCTGGCAGGCTACAGTCCATGGGATCTCAAAGAGTCGGACACGACTGAATGACTAACACTTTCAGACTTTACTTGCCAAAAACACAATCATACATTTAAAAGACCAGAATCCAGGTTGGTCGAATCCTTGTCTGGGACCTCTTTTAATACACTGGCTGCCTCATACTATACAGAAGGTTTAAAATATTTGGCAACTCTATTATTGAGGATGCTTTAAAGGAAAAGTGTGTGTGTGTGTGCGCGCGTGCGTGCATATGCGCTCGGTCCTGTCTGACTCTGTGCAACCCCAGGGACTGTAGCCCACCAGGCTTCTCTGTCCATGGGATGTTCCAGGCAAGAGCACTGGAGTGCGTTTCCGGGATCAAACCCACACCTCTGCGTCTGCTGCACTAGCAGATGGGTTCTCTACCACTAGCGCCACCTGGGAAACCCAAGGGGAAATTTTAAGCATTCAAATAATCAAGTAAGCCGTACAATGCCTGGGATTGAATGGATACTTAACAGATAATTACTGTTAAATGACCACTTATGTGAAGAAATGTATTGAATACTTATTGAATTAATTAATTTTAAAGGTTTAACCTAACTGCACTTGGAGCACAGGATGCCACTTATTTTTATATCTCTTAATATCCAGTTGACCAGACCCACTATGTAATCCTCTAACGTAAGTATTAATATAAACAGTTCCTGGTGATTCAGACGGTAAAGAATCTGCGTGCAATACAGGAGACCTGGGTTCGATCCCTGGGTGGGGAACATCCCCTGGAGGAGGGCAAGGCAACCCACTCTAATACTCTTGCCTGGAGAATCCCACAGACAGAAAAGCCTGGCAGGCTACAGTCCATGGGGTCACACTGTTGGACATGACTGAATGACTAACGTTTTCACTTTCACACATTTTTTACAGCCTTCTGAAAGGTACTTTAAAAGTTTGGTTGACGTGTTCTTCAGCATTTCCAAAAGTCTATTTGTGTATACATTCATCACAGCCATTGGGCAGCGTGCTTGGTGATCAGAAATGACTTCAAAGCCCGAATGCCCAGGTGTACCCCAAACTGCAGGTGTTTCTCAGCCACAGGTACCTAGTACATCCATCATGGCAGCATCTCTCAAGATCAAAGTGCTTTCTCCTCTAGCCTAGCAAGGAGCTCAAAAAGCCAAGGCTGTCATAGAACTCAGCATTGATCCCACATGGAAATTTCTATCCAAGCTATGAGCTACTATACTGTTCCCTACATCAGGGGCCAAGTAGTAAATAGTATATTTTGGTGGCCATACAGTCTCCGTTGCAACAAATTAACCTATCACTGTGGCATGGAAGCAGCTACAGAGAGTCCATAAACAAATGAGCCCATGTTCCAGTAAAACTGTATACACCCTGGAATTCGAATGTTGTATAATTTTTGCATATCACAAAATACTGTTTTGAGTTTTCTTCAAGCATTTAAAACTACAAAAACCATTCTTAGCTCAGCAGCTATATAGAAACTAGCAGTAGCACAAGACATCCTCTGATATACGTTGTTCTTTCAACCAAGGTTTTGACTGTGTCTGCAGTCACGCTCAGCTGAAATGCTGAGAATAAGCCTAATGCTCTGCTGGGGAATAGGGACTGAATGCGTCTACAGTGTAGACCTTCTCATATGCTCCCTAAGAAGGTGTCTGGTTGAAAAATCATCCAAGAAATCTAATGTGAGAATAAGAACCTCACAGGAGAGAACAGGTTTGCAAGGGGCCTTCTAGATCTTGCTTAAGACTTGGATGTTATCATAAGTGCCATGGGAAGCCATTAAAAGAAGACCATAATGATATTTCCATTTCTTCTATAATACACAAGATGGACTAGAGTGGGCAAGGTGAGAATGACCTAGAAGAGACCCAATGGGAAGACACGGCTGTTGTCAGCCTAAGGATGGTAGGCCAGGATGAAGATAACAAAGTTACAAAGGAGTGGGAGACATTTAAATTTCCTCATTAACCCCAATAAAGTGTGAAAAGAATTAAAAGGGAAAGAAGGAAGGAAAGAAGAGAGGAGGGAAGGAGGGAAGGAGGCAGACAGTGAGAGAGAGAAGGAAGAAAAGTCTACTTGAAACTTCTACATTCCCCTTAAATAAGGCAACTGTGTGACCATTCATTTCGGCAAGATAAAAGGAATGAAGTTGAGAAGAAAAATCAAAGGAAGGATGATCTCAGGGCCCCGAGTTGCAAAACTCATTTTTCTTTTCTGACTAAATCATTGAATTTGGTTGTTTCCAAGGTATCTAGGAGGACTGGCAGTTGGTTACTCTGAATGTTTTAAACAGTCCTGGAGAGCAAAGGGGAAAACTCCCTACCTTCTATAAGAAACTCCAGCCTATTGTTATTTTATGACTTATTCTTAAAAGCCCATTAAAAAATCAATGTCTGGGAAGAGTAACATTTAACTTTTAGCTGTGAAGGCAAGACACCACAAGTCTGTTTCATGGGTAAACTTCCATGATGGAAGCAGATGAAAAGTCTTTGAAAAGATGGATCTTCTGGAGGCAGGGCTTACATTTAAACCTAAGTATCACTCAAGGAATTTTAGACAAAGCTTCTTTCTCACATCAAGGTTTATGACACATCTCAGGGTAACAACTATGGGTTTGGGAACTCTATACTGCCCGGAAAACGTAACCCCCCCCCCCCAGTAACTGAACAGTCTTCCTATTCAACAAATACTACTTTACTACTAGCAAAATGGAGTTCCCTATCTCTTCTGAGTTGATGTAAAAATGATATGGAAGAACAATACATTACCTTTATGTTATACCAATATGCCCATCTTAAAAACGTAGTTTCGACTACCCTACTATTAATATATAGCACAAGGGAAAAAAGGAAGGTTCAATCTGTTTGTAGGACATATATTAAGTTAACATTAAAGATGCATTCCAATGTTTGTCTGCAACAGCAGGAGCAGTTAAATTTTCATTCCACTTATGCAAAGTACCTAGAAGAGTCAAATTCATAGAGTCAGAAAGTTACTTTGGTAAATGCCAGGGGGCAGGGTAGGGATGACGTAGGGAGGGAAAATGAGGACTTAGTGTTTAACAGGGACAGAGTTTCAGTTCAAGAAGGTGGAGAACTCCAGAGATGGATGATGGTGAGAATTGAACAACAATGTGAATGTACTTAGTGTCACTGAACCATATAGTTACGTGTGGTAAAATAGTATGTTTTATATTATGTGACTTTTACCANTGAAGTCAATTCTGTGTATAAGTTTGTGTGCTCAGTCACTCAGTCATGCGTGTCTGACTCTTTGCAACCCCATGGTCTGTAGCCCACCAGGCTCCTCTGTCCACAGGATTCTCCAGGCAAGAATACTGGAGTGGGAAAAGGAAATGATATCCCTTGACTATTTTTTAAAATTTTATAGCCTGGTACCAAAAAGTTTGAGAGTCGAAAATCAAATGTGATTTGCTCTAAAGTCAGTCTGTATTAACACCAGCCTACAGGCCCCTTTTAAAGTGAGAACCCTGCTGTGTCATTTCTTCTATGCCTTTGTGGTAACAACTATGTAAAGAATAAAGAGATCAATGGAAATTCATTTTCACTATTTTAAGGAAATCTGTTTTGATCCATGAGATCTCCCAGGATCAAGAATCAAGTCTCATTCACTTATGTTTCCTCATTTCCCAGGATCATTCTTGAAAAGACATTTAATACATGTTTATTATTGAAGCTTTCTGGTCAATACTCTTATCAATCTAGAGTCATTTAAAATATAGCACTTAATATCATCAAGTGAATAATCACACTTGCTTCATTTGGGCAATTAATAAAGGGGAAGAAAAAAGACAGTTCATTATCTCTTGAAGCTTACAAAAATTGAAAAGAGATAAGCATTAAACAAACAAACATCCCACAATCACAGAATAAGTCAGATCTGCAGATAAACATGATCTTATGTTCTCTTGTATAATTCCTTTGACTAAGCAACCTAAATGTCCATCAGCAGATGAATGGATAAAGAAGTTGTGGTACATGTATAAGTGGAATATTTTTCTGCTGCTGTTCAGTCATGCCTGACTCTTTGCAACCCATGGACTGTAACCCACCAGGCTCCTCTGTCTATGGGATTTCTTAGGCAGGAATACTGGAGTGGGTTGCCATTTCCTCCTCCAGGGGATCCTCCCAACCCAGAGATCAAACCCACATCTCTTGCATCTCTTGCACTGAGAGGCAGATTCTCTACCACTGCACCACCTGGGAAGCCCACAGTGGACTATTACTCAGCCATAAAAAGGAAATGAATTGGGTCATTTGCAGTAATGCAAATGAACCTAGAGTCTGTCATACAGAGTGAAGGAAGTCAGAAAGAGAAAAAGAAATACTATATATTAATGCATATAAGTGGAATCTAGAAAAAATGGTACAGATGAACCCATCTGCAGGGCAGGAATAGAAACACAGATGTAGAGAATAGACATGTTGACACAGAAGGGGAAAGGGAGGGTGGAATGAACTGAGAGGTCTTGGAGTGACATATATACACCATCATGTATAAAACTGGAGAAGGAAATGGCAACCCACTCCAGTATTCTTGCCCAGAGAATTCCATGGACAAAGGACCCTGGCAGGCTACATCCATGGGGTCACAAACAGTTGGACATGACTGAGTGACTAAGCATACACACACACATGCGTAAAACAGATGGTTATTAGGAAGCTCTTGTATAGCACAGGGAGCTTAGCTCGGTGCTCTGTGATGACCTAGGGGCTGGATGGGGGTGGGAGGGAGAAAGGTCTTAGAGGGAGGGGATATATGTATACATATAGCTGGTTCACTTCGTTGAAACTAACATGGTTAAGCCATCATACTCCAGTTTTTTTGTTTTTTTTAACCCATGGACTGTAACCCACCAGGCTCCTCTGTCTATGGGATTTCTTAGGCAGGAATACTGGAGTGGGTTGCCATTTCCTCCTCCAGGGGATCCTCCCAACCCAGAGATCAAACCCACATCTCTTGCATCTCTTGCACTGAGAGGCAGATTCTCTACCACTGCACCACCTGGGAAGCCCACAGTGGACTATTACTCAGCCATAAAAAGGAACTGAATTGGGTCATTTGCAGTAATGCAAATGAACCTAGAGTCTGTCATACAGAGTGAAGGAAGTCAGAAAGAGAAAAAGAAATACTATATATTAATGCATATAAGTGGAATCTAGAAAAAATGGTACAGATGAACCCATCTGCAGGGCAGGAATAGAAACACAGATGTAGAGAATAGACATGTTGACACAGAAGGGGAAAGGGAGGGTGGAATGAACTGAGAGATTTTGGATTGACATATATACACCATCATGTATAAAACTGGAGAAGGAAATGGCAACCCACTCCAGTATTCTTGCCCAGAGAATTCCATGGACAAAGGACCCTGGCAGGCTACATCCATGGGGTCACAAACAGTTGGACATGACTGAGTGACTAAGCATACACACACACATGCGTAAAACAGATGGTTATTGGGAAGCTCTTGTATAGCACAGGGAGCTTAGCTCGGTGCTCTGTGATGACCTAGGGGCTGGATGGGGGTGGGAGGGAGAAAGGTCTTAGAGGGAGGGGATATATGTATACATATAGCTGGTTCACTTCGTTGAAACTAACATGGTTAAGCCATCATACTCCAGTTTTTTTGTTTTTTTGTTTTTTTTTTTTTTCAAAAAAAAACCAGCTCCAAGTGTATTTCTCAGAGGTGTAATCAAAAGAAAAAGGCATATGGGTTCATATTCAGAAAGTATCATGTAATCATGTAAGAATAAAAAATAACCTGTTTCAATCACAAAAGACTACATTATGTGGAGGAATTTCAGGTATAAAATCTAATCTCCAGAAGACAGTTACTTCAATAACAATGGTACAGGAATCACTAGGAGTTACCCCATGGGGGAACAAGTTAGGATGCATTCAAATCTCCCAAAGAAAAGCTATTTAACCCAAGAGAATAGCTTGCACCCAAATTACATGGTCATCACCAGGCCTAAGCCAAAACATAAAAATATAGCTTAAGCTTTCCATCAACCTAAGCTGGCAAAGTCAAGGACCAATGTTAGGACAAATACCATATGACATCATTTCTAAAGGCTTCCCTAGTGACTCAGGGGGTAAAGAATCTGCCCACAATGCAGAAGACCTGGGTTCGATCCCTGGGTTGGGAAGATCCCCTAGAAAAGAGAATGGTTACCCACTCCAGTATTCTGGCCTGGAGAACCCCATGGACAAAGGACACTGGCAGGCTACAGTCCACGCAGTCCCAAAGAGTTGGCCATGACTGAGTTACTAACATACACAAACATATCATTTCTAAAATGTGATGCAAATAGATTTACTTATGAAACAGAAACAAACTCACAGACATAGAAAACAAATTGATGGTTACAAAAAAGGAAAGGGGGTAGGAGAGAGAGAAATCAGGGGTTTGGGACTAGCAGATATAAACTTCTATATATACAATAGATGAACAACAAAGTCCTACTGTACAACACAGGGAACTATATTCAGTATCTTATAGTAAACCCTAATGAGAAAGAATATAGTGTGTATGTGTGTATGTCCACGTGTGTGTATAAAACTAAATCACTTTGGTGTACTCCAGAAAATAACATGACACTGTAAATCAACCATGTGTGAAAGTGAAAGTGTTAGTTGCTCAGTCAAGTCCGACTCTTTGCAACCCCGTGGACTATAGCTCATCAGGCTCCTCCTCTGTCCATGGGATTCTCTAGGCAAGAATACTGGAGTGGGTATCCAGGGGATCTTCCAGACCCAGGGATCAAACCCAGGTCTCCTGCATTGCAGGCAGATTCTTAACTATCTGAGCCACCACAGAAGCCCAATCATACTTCAGTTTGAAAAAGGACAAGTATTTGGACATTTTCTGGTCAAAGCCTTCAACCTGCAGCTGAAGAAACCACCTTGCCATTCACACAACTTCCAGCTGGTCATCAGATTTTCAAGAACCTATTTCTTGACTTGTCCCAATTCAACTTTGCATACCCAAGTGCCATAATTCCAATATATACACAATTCATCAAAAGTGGCTGTTTTTATGAAAGGACAACAAGTTATAAAAATAAAAGACCAGGTGTTTGTGTTAGATTCATACCCAGATGCCTAGCTAAGGCAGTATAAACAGGGAGAGAAAGAAGAGAGAGACAGGAACTAGAGGCAAGAAAGGATATTTAACATTCAGAGGCAGGTTGCTCCTATTTCTCGTCATTCAATCTATAGGAAAAAACTATAGGCAAAACTTCTTGACCATATCTAATTTCTCTCTCTTTTTTTTTTTTTTTAAGAGAAAAGTAGTACTAGAGTTTCATTTAAGTAGAAAAACCAAAAACAAAAAAAAATTGAAAATAGCATAAAAAGATTTTATATTGTAACAGCAATCTCTTTAAACTAATTGAATCTGTTTTCCCATTGGTAGATCTCCAATTGGTGATACTGACACATGGCCCAGGACAACATTAGTTAAACTTCCTGGGCAACTAATTTCTTCTGGAGACCAGCCTGCCATGGGTGGAGTGTGCTTTATCAGAATATGAATGAGCCACGAGGAAGGTCAAGCACTGGTCATTCCATTTTAGGAGTGACAGCAGTAAGAAATCTTTCTCTTCCCCAAACAGCCAGGGATAAATCAGGAAGCTGCCCACTGGGATATTATCATAAGTTTATTCAAAGCACAAGTTACCTGATCAAGGATATCAGAAAACTGTCTAAGTTTGCTGAGTTCCACCAAATTTAGCCAGGTCATGTCCAGGATCCATTTAGACGGTTTAGGAGGACAGGCTTTCAAGTCCAAGGAGGCACCACCTTTCAAGTTAAACATGTTATGTTAACAAAATTTTGCTTCTGTACTGCAAAACAATATCTGTATTTTTAAAAAAATCTTGCTGAAACTATTTTAATATTAAATCTTTTACTACCTTAACATTTATTAAACTCAGAAATATAAACCATAGTGATGAACAAACTTTAACATTTAATAGAGAAACAGATGATTTTAGAAAAACACATTTAAGGATCAGTGATATAGGTTTGGATACAGGTAAGTGGTGGATTCTGTCTTAGCTACACCTGGCCAAGGTATGAGACAAGTTAACTCATCTGCCCAGGACTGTGTATTCAAATATATACAATGGGAATAATGACACCGAGGTGTTTCCTGGTGGTTCAGATGGTGAAGAATCTCGCTGCAATGAGGGAGACCCAGGCTTAATCCCTGGGTCAGGAAGATTTCCTGGAGAAGAAAATGGCAACCCACTCCAATACTCTTGCCTGGAGAATTCCACTGGCAGAGGAGTTTGGCAGGCTATATAGTCCATGGGGTCACAAAGAGTCCAATGCCACTGAGAGACTAACACTTTCACTTTCACTTCAGGTGTTTTGGTAATGACAGAAAATACATAAGGTGAGTGTGAAGCACTCAAAACAGGATCAAGGACACAGCTGAGAGTCACTAAATGAGCAGCTGTTTTCAGCATTAAGAACTGCCGAATATTGACACAAGCTCATTTTAAGGATGTTTCACCGTCAGATGGCATCACCGACACAATGGACATGAATTTGAGCAAACTCCAGGAGATGGTGAACGGCAAGGAAGCCTGGAGTGTGCTGCAGTCCACGAGGTCGCAAAGAGTCAGACACGACTGACCAACTGAACAACATTTTAAGGAGAGAATTTATCTAGATTTGTTTGTAACACTACCTGTGTTTAAGAGATTCTCCTCTATGAACCAGTGTATTATTGACATCCATGTTGAACACATCCAAGGGCCCTGTGTTACGTCATTTATTCTTGATCAATCTACCCACAACAAACATTTCCATCGGGTACTGACTCCTATCTCTTCTCTGATAATTCATCTAACCTCGTATAACTCATATAATTCTCATAGCACCATGAAATAAATAAATGACAGCTTAAAAATGTTACTGTTGTCCATCCCAGAAAAACTAAATGTGTGGACAATCATATTTTAAATCAAAGCAAGAGCTAGCAAGTCTTCTATAGGATAAAATATACCATTTAATAAATAATATCTATTAAAATGCTTCAAGGAAAATACAGTCTAAGCATAATTCTTCAAAGGATATAACCAACCCATTTGGCTACAATCTTTTTTGGAACAGAGCAGGTCATAAACAAGTAATAATACTCAAGATATTTATTGAGGCAATCTCTACTTTATTCAGGTACCATGCACCCCATGTGCTGCAGTCCACGAGGTCGCAAAGAGTCAGACACGACTGACCAACTGAACAACATTTTAAGGAGAGAATTTATCTAGATTTGTTTGTAACACTACCTGTGTTTAAGAGATTCTCCTCTATGAACCAGTGTATTATTGACATCCATGTTGAACACATCCAAGGGCCCTGTGTTACGTCATTTATTCTTGATCAATCTACCCACAACAAACATTTCCATCGGGTACTGACTCCTATCTCTTCTCTGATAATTCATCTAACCTCGTATAACTCATATAATTCTCATAGCACCATGAAATAAATAAATGACAGCTTAAAAATGTTACTGTTGTCCATCCCAGAAAAACTAAATGTGTGGACAATCATATTTTAAATCAAAGCAAGAGCTAGCAAGTCTTCTATAGGATAAAATATATCATTTAATAAATAATATCTATTAAAATGCTTCAAGGAAAATATGATCTAAGCATAATTCTTCAAAGGATATAACCAACCCATTTGGCTACAATCTTTTTTGGAACAGAGCAGGTCATAAACAAGTAATAATACTCAAGATATTTATTGAGGCAATCTCTACTTTATTCAGGTACCATGCACCCCAAGAAATTGCTGTCTTTTGCCAAATCCATCTTAGTAGACTTCCAAGGTAAGTGGAATAAGAGGTAAGTGAAGTCATTTCAGTGAAAATATTAGCTCATAAAATCAAAACAGATTGCTTGAACACCAGGGAGCAGTTAAAGACCTAAGTACAACGGCACTGTGTTGAAAAATGTCACACCAATTCCCATGGAAAATGTCCATTTTCCAACAACCTGAAAAGAATAACATATCCACCACAGGGTTAGAGAAAAGCCTTTCATGGAAAAGAGGATTCCTTGAAACCATACCATTATTCATTGTTTAATAGAGGGTAACTCTGTCATGAATATCTTGGCTGCCTCGGAAGGGTACAATGGGTCACAAAGAATATTGTAGTGGAGGGTGGGGACACACTCCTGGATAGCATGGCACCAGATTAGATGGACGCCCAAAGAAGGAACAGCTGGGATGACAATAATTCAAAATAAATTTTAAAGATGATTGAGAATTAAATCTTTATCATTAAACTTTGTAAAACTGAAACATGCTTATAATGATGCATACAAGCTATATCACACAAACATGAAGTGACATAGCTAAGGCAGACTAAGACCTCTAGACTCACCTTTTCCCATCTTAGAGATGAGTAAATTAAAAGATCAGTATCAAAACACTATTGCTATCTAAACATTTTCAACCAAGTGATTTTAAAATCCCTACAGAGGGAGTTGATGTCTCTGGGCAGCTCTCACCAACATAACTGACAAAGGGAAATCTTATGAAGCCCTGTGTCCTAAAGGAGTATAAGAAATAGGTGCTGAATGCAGGAAGTCCACAAAATCCTGTCCAACCTATGCAAGTCTCAGACAAATCAAAATAAACTAAAAAACTAAAGATAAAACAACAATGCCCATCATCTGCTGAGCATATTCTATGTCCAGGGTTTATATAAATTGTGTGAATTCTCAATAATCCTATTATGTAGATATTACTATCCTTGCTTCATAGCTAAGGCAACTGAATCTTGAAAAGTTTAAATAACCTGCTTAAAACCACTTATCCCAAAGTGGCAAAGCCATTATTTTCCCTTAGAGTCTTTCCAACTCTAAATTCCATGTTTGTTTTGATCATGCCGAACTATAACATACTTTACAGTATCTCAACCATTCTGGAGGTCAAGGTCAATGTCATTCCCATGAGGAAAGGCCTCTTATACCTAAAATGAGGATTTCAGGAACAACATTCCCATAGGAAGCTCCATCAACTGAAGGGCCAGAGTCACTGAGGTCAGAAATCAGTTATATACAAAGGACTCACTGAAGAAGGCAACTCCTATACCTACACATCTACCTAAGGTGATGTCTCTCCAGATTATTCATCTTCCATGTGCCCTGATTTAGGAAGCTTGGAACATAAAAAAACAAAGGCAAGGGTTCAAGGATTAGAGACAAAGAAGAGACAGAAAGAGATATCATCCAAAAATCATACCTTTCTAAGTTGTCATGTCTAAATGATGAGTCTTCATTGTCATTATAAGCTATGTATGCATTGTTGTTCATTCACTAAGTTGTGTCAGACTCTTTGCGACCCCATAGACACCAGCATGTCAGGCTCCTCGGTCCTCCACTATCTACTGGAGTCTGCTCAAACTCATGTCCATTGAGTCGGTGATGCCATCCAACCATCTCATGCTCTGTCATGCCCTTCCCCTGCCTTCAATCTTTCCCAGCATCAGGGTCTTTTCTAATGAGTCAGTTCTCATCAGGTGGCCGAAGTATTGGAGCTTCAGCATCAGTCCTTCCAATGAATATTCAGGACTGACTTCCTTTAGGATTAGACTGGTTTGATCTCCTTGCTGTCCGAGGGACTCTCAAGAGTCTTCTCCAGCACCACAGTTTAAAAGCATTGATTCTTCAATACTCAACCTTCTTAATGGTCCAACTCTCACATCTGTACATGACTACTGGAAAAACCATAGCTTTGACTAGGTGAACGTTTGTTGGCAAAAGGATGTCTCTGCTTTTTAATATGCTGTCTAGCTTGCCATAGCTTTCCTTCCAGGCATATGTATGTAAATATGCATTTGTATGTATGTAAGTGTGACTCTGACCTACACACTCCCATTGTGCCCTTTCCTTCTGCCCCCATGGGATCCTCTTCAAGTTCCTCTGCAAATCTACTCTCCATGTAGATGAAGTCATGAAAATCCACCCCTTGTCCAAAGACAAAGTTGTGTTTTACCTTTAAAGATAAATCTCCAGGGACTTCCTTGGTGAGACTTCAAGCTCCCCATGCAGGGACTGGGTCAGCCCCTGGTGAGGGAACTAGATTCCATATGCCTCAACTAAGAGTTCACATGCCACAACTAAGCCCCAGTGCAGCCAAATAAATAAATATTTTTTAAAAAAATGTAAATCTTTGTTTAGAAATGTATAGCACTGGATTGGCCAAAAAGTTTTTGGGGGTTTTCCATAAGATGTCATGGGAAAAACGCAAATGAACTTTTTGGCCAGCCTGCCTGGAAAATTCCATGGACAGAGGAGCCTGGTGAGCCACAGTCCATGGGGTCATAAAGGGTTGGACACAACTGCACGACTAACTTTCACGTCAATCAGTTCAGTTCAGTCACTCAGTTGTGTCTGACTCCTTGCAACCCCACGGACTGCAGCACGCCAGGCTTCCCTGTCCGTCACCAACTCCCAGAGCCTGCTCAATACTGGCCAGCCTAATAGATTGTTCAGCCTGTGAACAATGCTGCAACGGACACAGAGGAAACACGCATGCGATGAGCAGCATGGTCGCTCACCGCTGCTCAGCTGCCCTGCTTGCTATGCTTTGCCTCCATCACACTGGAGACAGTAGGAGGCTCCCTCCCAACAGAGGCACTGATGCCAGCTCCTCTTCCTTCAGCACTTATCTAAATGTCCCCAGGGCCAGCACCCCCCTGCTCCTCCAGGTCTTGGCTCACCTGTCCATCTCTCAGGAGTCCTACTCCATTAGAAATCCCATTAAATATCCCATTTAAAATGTTAACATTCCCCCTCACTCCACATACTGTGTAACTACCCATCTCCCTTATCTTTGTCTGTTCCCCCACCGCCCCAGTGTTTACTAGCTTCTCACACACTACACAATTTACTTGTTTATTAAGTGTTCCAAGTGTCTATTCTGTGTCCTAGCACAAAGGTTCTCAATAAATATTCACGCAGGGACTTGCCCGCTGGATAAGAAGAGTGAATAAGAATCTGCCTGCCAATGCAGGGGACATGAGTTCGATCCCTGGTCCTGGAAGATTCCGCATGCCATGGAGCAACTAAGCCCATGTGCTGTAACTACTGATCCCGTGCCCTAGAGCCAGCAAGCTGCAACTACTGAACTTATATGCTGCAACTACTGAAGCCACTGCACCTAGAGCCTGTTCTCCGAAACAAGAGAGGCTGTCAGAATGAGAAGCCTTCACACCACAACGAAGAGTAGCCCCTGCTTCCTGCAACTAGGGAAAGCCCATGCAGAGCAACAGAGTGAAAGTGAACTCACTCAGTCATGTCTGACTCTTTGCAACCCCCGGACTGTAGCCCACCAGGCTCCTCTGTCCATGGGATTCTCAAGGCAAGACTACTGCAGTGGGTTGCCATTTCCTTCTCCAGGGGATCTCCCCAAGTCAGGGATCGAAGCCGGTCTCCCGCATTGTAAGCAGACGCTTTACCGTCTGAGAGCAACAAAGACCCAGCACAATATATAAATATATATATATTTTTTTAATACAATAAATAAAATTTTAAAAAATTTCATGCAATAAATGAACAAATAAAATATCTCTCATAAGTGCAATCTTCAATCAAGTGCAAGGAAACTACTGCTAAAACACACACACGACCCTCACCATAATTCATACATCTGCACCCACGCGCAATGCTTTCTAGTCGTATACTGACCTTTAATAAGGGTGAGAAACTCTTCGTGCTTGACTCGGTTCCTCTGGATGTCAATCTTCAGGGTAAGCAGCAGCGTGAACAGGAATTTGTGCTCCTCATACAACCCCCGGGCTGTGTACTTAAAAACCTCGTAGGTCATGTGCTCAATGATATTAGCGATCCTCTTGCTTGTAATTGGGCTCTTGACAGACCTGGAGAAGACAGCATTTAAATCAGGTTTAGCCCACTGCCCTTTTCAATTGTTCTTAGAAACAATGTCTTTCATGGAAAATAAGTAACTCTGGAGGACCAATTCTTATTTTATACACATCATTAGTAAGCCTCCTAAATCTGAAATAACAAGCATTCTCTCAACATGAAATAACATAAGAGAATCCTTCACGTCGTCTGAATCAATTTTTACCCGCCGAACATTATCACTCACAACAACATCTGGGGAATTTTCTTGTTAAATAGAAACTCGTGAACCCAAAAGAATCGATCAATGGATGAATAGTTGGCAGAGCTTTCTCCAAGCATAAAATAACAAATGAGAATGATTTGTTAACATACTGGTAATTACGCTCAATTTAGATTAAAAAAGAAGACAAGCTTAGTAACAAAGGGGGGGAAGTTATCAACATAATATCATCATTCCATCCCACAGATACTGAATTCAGCTTGGTTTCCTGAGTACAGACGTACCTGGCCAAGGAAAGGTCAAACAAGCCAAGAAACTGGCGGAGCGAAGTCTGATACATCTCATTAACCAAGCGCATCTCCGTGATGAGAAAGTAAAGGATGCTACCCCGGGTGGCGACTGAAAGACAAAGATCAAGGTAGCACTTGCGATGAGGGTGGACAATAAATAACCCATGCACAGATCAGTCTGAACGGTAAACGAAAACAACAAGATTCATAGTCTTAGCAATGACTATCTACCAGCAACGGCATCTAGAGCAATGTCATCATATACATTTAATTGTTCTTTATAAGATCTGTACAAGTAGTCTGCTGTTTGCCCTCATTAAGTAATCCTTTCCATTTAAGAATCTCTAGATCCCTTGTAAATACATTTTGTTACATTTTCTCATAGGTAGAGAAGACAACCAGTGGGACAGCATAGGTTGTAACACCCAGCAACTTGCGTAGGCACTGTAAGGACCTCATTCTTGAGCTCCATGAAGAAGCCCTGACTAACCCCAGCCTCAAGTTGGCAAACCAAGGCATCACAGAGATGATGCTCCTGGCTGTCTACCAGTAGATGTTGTTTCGATTATTTTTCCAGAAGGCATGATAAATTACTAAAGGAAATTGAATTCTTTTAGCAGGTTCCCTTTATAACCCAACACTGATTTGTTGATTTATGTATAAGACTGAAGAGTTCCCACGAGACCAGAGAACCATCTTCCTGTTAGGAAGACTACAAACAAAATACAGGCTTATTGTTACCAATGATAAAAAACTAATGAACAGCCCACAACCGCAGCATGAATTCCTCAGACTTCACTAATTTGCAGTCAGATGTCCTCTAAAAACTCTCCTCTTAACTTTCTGGTTTAAAAATAAGTTAATAGGAACCTTAAGGAATTTGCCAGTAACATAAATTATAAGTGCTTAGAAAATTTACACCATCATAAAACTTCTTCATCTCAATTTTGCTGAATATTTAAAGAAATGGCATAAAACATAAATGACCACCCCACATTGCATAGTCGTTTTCATAACATCCCTACTTCAATTTCTCTAATTCTCATTTCTCGCTTCATTTTCCTGTGACATTTGTCTTTCATTACCAAACTCACCAGGTCTATATTCCTCCCGGGCTGAGTTAATTTGAATTTCTGTCTCGGCTGAAATTTCCAGCTTCTGTGTCACCTCCTCAGCTGTCTTTTTTGTCTTACTCAACACCAGGATGAGACTCTCGTCTTCCACAAGGGACCCCTGAATGCTGGTCAGACGGTAAAGCAAATTATCTTCCAGCTCTTTCATCTTCCTTTTGTTTGCAGTTACATCTTCCATGAGATGAGTTCTTTCTTTCTCCAATTCCTGTTAATTTGCATAAATATATTTTCTTCATTAATTAACAACTATCATTAAGCCATTCCTTAAAAAGTTTACCTACTGGGCTCTCTTGAGTTCCTGCACTATAGTTATCATATTTGACTGCAAGAAATACAGACATCAAAATCAGAGGAGATGAATTCATAGAGGGAAGAACTGGTGGCAAACAACATAAAATGTGCTAAAAATATTACCAATGCTAACAATTTACCATCCATTTATTTCCTAAAGTCGACTCAGCTTTAAGTGACTTTTGTGATCATATTTATTCCTGTTTTGAAACTGAAATTTGTTTGAATATAACATATGCAGCTCAGATTAAATACATTTATCTCTGCTTAGTTTCTTGTTTAAAAGAGCTCTATTGCCATTTGAATGTGATTATTTTCAAATTGCCTGTTGAAATAGTATCCAACTCTGTGACAAGCAAGTGTGCAAAAGTTAGGCAGGTAAACTGTGCTGTTACTGCGGGTACATATAAATTGAAAAATCATCTTGACTTGAAAAGGAAAGATGCTGTTCTCTTCAAGAGAAGGGAAGTTCTGAATCCTTCCTGAAAGGCCTTTGTGGGAAGCTGGGGAGAAAATGGCTTTGGGAGATCATTGTCCTGATTGGCTATTTCCTCCTTATAGGGAGTTTGGAGAAAGAGAGACGGTGAAAGAGAAGGAAAGAAAAGATGGGGTTGGTGAGGTTGGGGGAAGGAGGAAATGGCCATGACACCAAATAAGCCAAACCAGAGACAACATGCTTCAGACACCAGGTCAAACTGTACATGAAAGTCAAATTGTTTCATGAGCAATGCTAACTGGAGGTTAATAAAAGAATCAAAAAAGGAAAAGACAATGAGGAAATAGAATTTAAAATCTGCGAAGAAGGACTTCCCTGGGGGTTCAAAACTGTAGAGGGCATGCGTGTCCACTGCAGGGGACAAGGGTTTGATCCCTGGTTGGGGAACTATGATTCCCCCATGCCTTGTGGTATGGCCAAAAAAGATTTTTTTAATAAAAATTAAGTGGTCAATCTGCATCAGTGAGAAACCCAAGAATAAGATATCAAAAATTAAAATAAAATTTAAAGAGAAAAATATGCATCTGCAAGTTTGCTTGAAGACCTTTCTAAATATAGTGTCCATTGACAAGGTGCCTACCTACGCCTAGCTGCATCACTAAAGAAGCTATGCACATTTCAGTGAAAATACAATTTGGGAAAACTAGGGTTAAACGCAGGTGCCTTGAATGGGAAAGCACTGTCAGGAGTTTAGGTGCAGCTACCAGGCATGTGGTACCAAGCTCACGTTGACAGAGGGACTTCAGAAAGGTCCATACTCAACTAGATATTCTAGAATGACTCAAAAGGTTTTGTAGATTCTATATCCTATCTAGAAAACTAGAAATCTAAAGTCATATACAGTGATGAATCATATGAAAACATATAAAACATAGTGAAACTATTTACTAACGACACGATTATTTACTTTCTAATATAACACATAATTTACTTAATAGTTATGCTCCAAGGATTTTTTAGTTCATTGATACATTCTCCAACTCTTAGTACAATGCCCGTATATGGTCGACTCTCAATACTACAGAGTGAATGATTAATCACTCTACCCCTTTTCAAACTGGTAAAGTGAAACATATTAGTGTACCAGAAAATCTAGTCATATCTTAGTGCAAGAAATACAAACATGAGAATTCTGCCTTTGTAACAAAAACCATGAAGTTATAAATAAAGGTCCTGATAACAAAATTGCATGCAGACAAAAAGCAAAGAGCACTGGCCTCTGCTTTACGGTCCAGCTAGTTATTCACCATTGGTTGAACAATTAGGAGGATGGGACCCTACCAGACTCCCAGCTCATACTCTAAGCACAGTGAGTCAGGTCTGGAACATTCTAGAAAAGAAAAATTCTCTCCTTAAGCAAGACAAATGCTCCTTAAGCAAGACAAGCTTGACTCAATTCTTGATTCTTTGAGATATAGCAATGCAATTAAGACTTACTTATCTTTGCTTCCATGTGCTATTTGGTAATATTTGAAAGCTATCTTACTGGTCATTTTAATTCATTTATTCATTAAATAAGAATCTCAAAGCTGAGCTTCTGTAGAAATCACTACAAACAAGTGACATCTAATGACTACTATAAAAATCATTTCCATAAACATTTACAATAAATGCACTCGCAATATGGTTACACTAGGAAATAAAGTGATAATAAAATTAAATGGAAATAATTGAAATATTATTAATGCCATATTCCTAAATTTTATGTACTCTCATTATCAATTCGGAGTCCCTAGAGGTAAGGACTCTAGAGGTAAGTCCCTAGAGGACTCTAAAAGTCCTCACCTGAAGACAGGTAAGAAAAGGAAAGCAAAGCAGTGGGAAGAGTTAGGATTTTGACATCAAGAAGACTTGTTTCAGTTATAACTCCCAGAACTTACTAACTGCATGATCTTCACCATGTTACATAAGACTATATGCCTCAGTTTCTTCATCTGCAAAATGTACAAAAATCAGCTCAGAGAGAGATTGTGTGGGTATCATCAGCAGAATAGCTGAAGCCAGTGCTTGGATCACAACAGCTGCTCAGAATATGTCTCTTCTCTTCCACCCTCTCCCTTGATTTGTTTCCAGCATGGATTTTACAGATGCAGTATAACATTTATTTGGAAATCAATAGTTTGAAAAATAGAATTATAAGTCAATACAAAATAAATCACATTTGTGAATAAAATGTAACATAAAAGCATAGTAAAGTAGTTGAAATGGGATTTTTAAAAAGGAGAACTTTCTAATCTTCCACTTATAATGCTAAGATTCATGCATTCATGTCTGCTGGAGTCAGACCATGGGCCATCAAATCCCGAAACTGCACCAATTCTTATTGAGCCTTTCCATAAAGTAATTTTTCTTCTGTCCATTTTTTTTCCCAATTACACAGCAATTGCCATAATTTGGGTTTTAATTTGTGCTTGGAGGACTGCTCTAACCATGACTGGTCTTCCTGCTGACCTTTTGCTGTCATCACCCCATTTTCTGCCCCAAGTCACTGAGGGATTTCCCTTTACTATTTGAAAAGGTCCAAAATTTTCAACATAGTTTATAAAACCTGTTACAATCTACATTTCCAATCTCATCTGCACTTGAGAACTATGGGACTGAGACTAAAATTATGCTCCATATTGCTTATGAAAACCATTATTAATAAATACAGTTACTAGTAATGCATACAATAAGTTGCAAAATTACTCCATCCCTAATTTTAAAGAGTTAAGTAAAAGTTTGAACATTATTGAAATGGTTGTGTTCAATTTAATATCACTAACAACACTAATTACATAGAATTGTCAATTAAAGTAATGCTTATATTCCCAAAGGATTAAAATAAGGCTAAGTAGTGAACAGTATGAGAAGGCAAAATGATAGGATACTGAAAGAGAAACTCCTCAGGTCGGTAGGTGCCCAATATGCTACTGGAGATCAGTGGAGAAATAACTCCAGAAAGAATGAAGCGATGGAGCCAAAGCAAAAACAATACCCAGTTGTGGATGGGACTGGTGATAGAAGCAAGGTCTGATGCTGTAAAGAGCAATATTGCGTAGGACCCTGGAATGTTAGGTCCATGAATCAAGGCAAATTGGAAGTGGTCAAACAGGAGATGGCAAGAGTGAATGTCGACATTCTAGGAATCAGCTAACTAAAATGTACTGGAATGGGTGAACTTAACTCAGATGACCACGATATCTACTACTGTGGGCAGGATTCCCTTAGAAGAAATGGAGTAGCCATCATAGTCAACAAAAGAGTCCAAAATGCAGCACTTGGATGCAATCTCAAAAACGACAGAATGATCTCTGTTCATTTCCAAGGCAAACCATTCAATATCACAGCAATCCAAGCCTATGCCCCAACCAGTAATGCTGAAGAAGCTGAAGTTGAACAGTTCTATGAAGACCTACA